AAGCAGCTTTAGGGCACATGTACAAAAGAAATCCTATCTGCAAGAACTAGTCGTCGAAAAATTTTTGCAAAATACTCTTGAATCTTCTTTTTAGCGTGCATACTTTTTACAACAAAGTGCTACTGTCAAAACTTTCCAAGAACTCTCCCAAAAAATGCAATCTAAATCGAGCCTTAACCTTGATTCTGAAAATTGCAGGCAAGTTGAAACATTGCGAGCTCGTTTCTAGTTCTATTATCCAGAAGGGCTTCTTGGAAGTTGTTTCAGTAGCTTGATTAGCTCATACGTCCTTGTGTCTCTACCAGAATACAGGCAAAGGTCAAGAGGAGTTAAACCGTCCTGCAACATGAAGCTAAATTTAGAAATTGTGCCGCATACAAAAGACATAAGCAACCCTTACATAATTCATGCTACAATTAATAACCAAACCCTGAAAAGGAAAATAATACTTCAAGTCAATGACATGCATGATCAAGGTCATTTACAGAGGTCTTACCTACGGATGGAAAGGTTAATTTGTTCCAAGGACACCGAAAGGTGCTGGAGTGTATGTAGATGGTTATCAATTTAGTGGCAAGATTCTGCTCAGTAGGAGCACTAGGCACTTTGTTTATTTACGCAAGTACAAATTGTTTCGTGTACACAATTGGTCAGTGCAGGATTAAGACAACACAATCAGGAGGTAAGCATTAGCTCATCAATTAGATCTCAAGAAAGACAGCACCATTTGGGAGCATGATAAACCTATCAAAACTCACACAAACACAGCAATCAAGTTTGACTAGAAAACAAAATAAATGAAAATTAAACAGTCTGCACTTTGCTACCTTGTTCCTTAACGTCTTGTCAGCTCCCTTGATCAATAAAAGCCTTACTACATCTGTTCTGCGAGATTGAACAGCTAAATGCAATGGTGCCCAGCCATCCTAAAAGGGAACAGAACAATATCAGCCCAAATTTAGAAAACTGAACAAAACGTAGCAAGAGCTTTATGTAGAGAACATTAGCCATACATTGTCTTGGAGGTTGATGTCAACGTTATACAAAAGAAGGATCTTTATCATTTGACTTGAAGCTGTTCGAACAGCATAATGCATCAAGGTGGCACCCTCCTGTTGCCAGCCAAAGATTTCAAAAGAACAATAGGTAAACCACATGCCAAATGCCAAAAAAAAAAAAAAACACACATAATTGAAAAATGAAAGCTTATGCTAACATTAATTGCTAATAAGATGAAATTCAAGCCTCAAGTATTTAGTACCACAATGCACTAGAGGTCCCTTATTATTTTTTTTTATTTTTTTTCACTGGAGATAAGTTGCTTGAATGCTTATGCATGTTCTATTCTCCCGCTTAAGCATGAAAAAATGACAACTACAAGGAGAAGATAAAGAAATCATAAAAGGAAAGTGATAGAATCTTGATCCCAAAGTTATTAATGATCAATTACTAAATCCATGAACTTAAAGGAAGGTTTTTTCGGTTCAGGATGTTTACTAGCATCACCAACATGAAGTTCACACATGTTAGATTTTTATTACTTTCTGGAGCAAAAAAGAATTCAGCATAACTTTCACAACATCAAAATAAACATAGAAGACAAAATTTATCTGAATGATATTAAGAAGAAGTTTTTGGAAACAGCATATGTAGCTTACTCTATCACGAACAAATGGATTTGTAGATTCTCTCAATAGATAGTTGAAAATAGCCTGCTTTTTGCCAAGAATTGCTTTGTGAATCGCAATCAATCCGTCCTGTTAAAAGATAGAAGACAAGCTCAGACCCAACATCTACAAGGAGTCAACAAAGACGTCCACGGGTTGATGCCTCAAAAGCATTTAAACTGCAATAATATAATGAAGGTTGTCAACCAGGGTACCTTGTCCATGGCATTGATATCAACATTGTGTTTTAACAAAGTATTGACGAGGTGAAATTCTCCAGAGGCAGCAAGAGTATGCAATGGTTGCCACTTTACCTGTCGAATATTGCAAAAACACAAAACTTTATGTGATCAGATAAGGTAGACCTAAATTGCCACACAAGAAAATTTGGCCAAGGAAAAGCAAATTACTAAAATTAAGAAGATACTTAGCTCCTCATGTTGTATTCAAAACAGTGTATAGTTGATGGAAATTATATTCAATTTTCCCAAAATCAGCATTAGAAGTACATAATATTCAATACTGGGGGAGCTTAATAGCAGTTTTCTGAAGTTACAAGCAAGAAAAAGAATTTCAACTAGTATGAGAAACTGAATATCAAATGTAGTTATATAACTTACCGAGGAAGCAACTGCTAGATCAGGAACCCGCCTATTTAAAAGAACCTTTTCATCCTTGGTGAATAACTTACGAGGACCTACACAATCAACAATGACAAATAACATATAGTGAAACCAAAACAGTGAAATACACTATACAGAGAATACAGAAAATGTTTAAAGAGAAAAAGAGAGGACATTCGTCAGAATGACACTAGCAATGGTACCTTACATAGAACAAGGAACATTCTTAGATCAAAGTTACAATACCTCATGAAAAGGATATATGTGCAGCTATATACATCAAGATTGTGGTACAGAAAGATATACAGACATATCTAAGATCATCTCAAGAAAAGAAACAATTGATGGTGAAGATTTTCAACAAATTCGCATTTATATTCACGAATTGCCTCAACATGTGGAAATTTAACAGGAGAGTTGAAGTAAGTAATATTCAGAAGTCACTCTAAGTATTACAATAATAGTCCAATTTGAATTCGACCAGTATGGAACCGGAAAAAAGTGACACGTCAGAGATACACGAAACTAGCTATCACTTATACAGACACTGATTAAGATAATTCACAAGGTTTACATTTGTGCTGAAGTCTCAAAACTATACAAAATCTTAACTTGGAACTCCTTCAATGTCAAACACTCCAATATCTAACTCTCAGATTGACTAGACACAAAATACATAACAAAACATAACATTCGCATGTTCTATTGACAATGAAAAAGAACATAATCTAGTCTCATAAAACCATGTTACGCTACACGGTTACTTTGGAAAAAGGTTCTGCAACACAAATAATACGAGTAATGTATATACGCGATTATGTCAGGCTTAAAGAAACGCACAATAGTGGTATAGTGCAAGAGAATATATCATCTAAGATTGCAAAAATCATTTTACAGTCATAAAAACTCTAACATGATCTATATGGTGGAAAGATAATTAAAATATCACCTCATTACAAATTGAAGAATGACAATTTGAACAAGTATGATTCGCATAAGAACAAGTATATATACCTTCAGTTCTTTTAGCAGCATCAGGATCATAATTCCCACTTCTGAAAAACTCTGAAATATCCTCCAATCCAACACCATAAACTGCCATCCTCGGATTCCTCGGTGCCACCCTACTACTCGATTCCCTCACAACAGAGTTCCCCTGTCCACTTCCCCTCACCTCATCATCACCCTTCTCCACTCTTTCATTGCGCAAAAACTCTGGTTTATCAAGCACAATGGGATTCAATTGTTTCAATTTTTGATCCCTATACTTCATAAACTTCTCCACATTCACATTTCCCACATTCCCACCTTCTATAGGCCTCAAACCCGCCCTCTTCTTCTCCACTTTTCGCCCAAATTCCACTTCCTGTGCAATCTTTCGCCTTTCTTTCTTACTAATATTAATTTCCCTCTGCATTTCCGCCCATTTTTCAGGAACTAAGTTCTCAGGCTCGATTTCTTTCGAATTTTTTCCTTTCCCTCTTGGGTTTTCTTTGGAGTTAAAATTTTCATCTTGGAGAAAAGGGTCATCAAATATACCCTCTTCGAAGACTACACAATCGCCTATAACAAGTTCATCATCTTCTTCCACTCCGGCGACATTCCCATTGGAAAACTGTAGAGAATTGGTCGATAAAGTGCAGGCTCTCTTGAAAAATGATGGGATTTGAGGAAAATTTTGTTGGGTTCTGTAAATCTTGCTCGGAGCAGGAGAAAAAAGAGCAGGAGAGGTGGGATTGGGGAGGAGGAGAAAAGTAGCCGAAGGTGACATGGGACTGGAGAGCAGAAGGTGCTGCCGGGATATGCACCGTGGAAATATGCACCGGGATTTTAGAGGAAACAATCCGTCAGCCCCTTAAACTATCAGCTTTACTGGATTTTGATCCCTCAATTATAAATTGTCAGACATAAGCCCTCAGACAAAAAAAAATGTCAAGCTTAAGTACTTCAGGAATAAGCCTTTAAACAAAAATATCAAGTTTAAGGACTTTTATCAAAAATAAGCCCCTAAACAAAAGAAAAATGCCAAGTTTAAGGACTTCTGTCAACCCGAATATGCCTTGAAACAAAAATATCAAGTTTAAAAACTTTTGTCAATTTTGAGTATTAGTAACAATGAAATGAGGGGCAATATTGTTATAGTATTGTCAAATAAAAATAAGTTAACTTTTGACTTCTAAAGTAATGTTATAGTATTGTTGTGGCTTTTATACTATTCACAAAGCACTACTTTAACCTCTAAACTAATGTCACAATATTGTTCTACTCTCTAAATTATTTCCATAGCATTGATGTGGTCTCTAAAAAAAGTAGACTTTTTTTTTTGGTTGAGTTGGTTTTGCTCTTCATTCCAACACCACTAACGCTTAAAATTAACAAAAATCTTTAAAATTGATATACACACACACTATATATATATATATATATATATATATATATATATATATATATATATATATATATATATATATATATATATATATATATATATATATATTTGTTCAGGGCTTATTTCATACGATTTATAGTTGAGGGGTCAATACCAAACAAAGTGAATAGTTTAGGGATTCAGCAGATTGTTTCCTCGAGATTGTTTAGGGGTGAAATTCAAATAGCACTCACACTCAAGGGGTAATATGTAATTAATTGAAAATAATAGCGAAGAAGGAATTTGATATCACTTGTGACTTAACCCAAAACCAACGGATAAGAAAGCATTTCTTCCAAAAGCTCCAACTCTCTCTCTCTCTCTCTCTCCTAGTGTGTGTTGTGCGTGTAAATTTTGATGCTTCAATGGCATTTTCGTGTAGCTACAATTCAGCAGTAGCTACTTATGATTATCGTTTCCCAACATTTTCGTCATCTCTCTCGAATTTTCGATCGAATTCTGCATTTTTGCCCTGTTCTTTTCTAAAGACGCTACGGCCAAGTCGGAGAAAATATTTCCTCAAAATCAATGCCACTGCTACTCTAGATTCCGGGAACGGCGCCGTTTCTGTAGCAAAGGAGGTGCGGGAGCAGCACCAGTCTTCCACGGATGAGGATTCTTATGGCAGACGGTATTTTCCTTTGGCTGCTGTTGTTGGACAGGTGAATTTAGTAAATTTTCAGTGTCATCTGAGGCCAAAATAGTTAGTTTGTTATCAATTGAAAGTTAATGCTTGATAAATTTTGAAATTATGGATGCATTGGTAAAATGGTGGATTTATAAACTAGTCTAATTATTAAGTGGAACAATTTTGATTAATTCCAAGGAGAATAATTTAATGTTATATGAGCTTGAATATTTGATAAACACTAAATTCTATTCTGGCCTGGTTTGTTTAGTTTCTGAACCAATATCGAACCAATTCTTATCGAGCTGAGTTCTGTTGGAGTATCCGTTTGTTTGGTTCGTCCTCATCGCTGTTCTTATGCATCAGAATATAAGTTTGGCAATATAGTAGAAAAGATGAGCTAAAAAATTGTTCAGGATGTAACTCTTGATCATTCTTTTTCTGTATCAAATTAAATGTCGATGCTTTATCTGGTGAAGTGAACACATTTTAGTATACTATGTATGTACATTGCTCATTCTCTGAGGTTAAACGTTTTGGTATTATAAAACTTTGCAACAAATTTGTGGTTTTTTTCAGTTTATGCGTGGAATTGAGATAATGCAAATTAAAGTAGGTCTTCTAGGGAATGTTGGTGTGATCCAAAACTTCTGAGGAGAAAGACATTCATTTTGGGATAAATGGAAAAGTATTATGGGGTGTGATTTAAATTTGCTATGATAGAGCCATTTGAAGCTAGTGTTGCTAAAATGATCTTATAAATTTTTCATATATCTTCTCTATATGTATCTTTTTTGTCAAGTTCACTCCTTATTTTGCATGATTTGCATTATCCATGTTGTCCTATATTTTGTTTCCATCTACCATAACCATGTTTCTGCAGAGTTTCTAAGTTCAAAATTATAACAGGATGCTATTAAAACTGCTCTTTTGCTTGGGGCTATTGATCGTGGAATAGGAGGGATTGCAATCTCTGGGAGACGAGGAACTGCAAAAACAGTCATGGCACGTGGGCTACATGCAATTTTACCACCAATTGAAGTAGTTGTTGGTTCAATAGCAAATGCTGATCCTGCCTGCCCTGAAGAGTACGGTTACTACGTACAACCCAATCTGTATCTGTTGCATGTTTCCACTTACCACCAAAATGAAACATAGCTTATTATTTGAACCCAACTTTAAAAAAAAAAATTATAAAGGACTATTTCAGAGGCTTCTTCCTTCAAGCTGTTCCATTTTGCCTCTTCAATTTTCTTTATACACGCAATGTATCTGAATCAATCTTGTAATTCATTTGTGTCTTGGATGGTATTTGGTGATCCAGCAATCGAAACATGTTCATGCTTTGCCCATATCTTTTAACTTTAAAGTTTTTGAAGATGAATATGTTGAGTCGAATTGGGATCACTACGTATGACAGATCTGCAGCCTTTATAAGTTGGGTAAACCTAAATTGTAAGAGTTCCAGGAAAACAATGTGAACTTGGCAAACTTACATGTCCAATCATGCTTTTGTCCAAACAGGAAAATACATAAAGTACTACCATGCACTTGATCTGTGTTTAAGGGCAATATGCTATTCTTTCTACAAACTTCTCACAGGACCATTTTGGCGATTCTGGTTACAGTTAAGATTATCTCCATTTCTAGCTTAAAGGGTGTTGTTCCTGTTTTATTGCTAATAGATATCCCCACATAAAAGCATTCAAAGAACATATATTGATAATCTCCCTGCCTTAACCCACCTGTCCAAATAAAATTAATGGAGCAGTGAAGAATTCTCATTCTTAGTTGTCTACGAGTGTTAAATAATTCTAGAAACAACTAAGAACATAACCAGAATGAGTATAGGATGAAGTTATGGCATAGTTATTAAACATTTTGTGCACTAAGTTGATAGTTTAATAGATTGATATGAACAGAAGACTTCTAGATGAAAATCTTGATTCATACCCAATGCCTACCATGAAAGGAGATACCTTTTAGGATCCTCACTTTCCAAAAGATGCTTAAAAAGTTAACTAACATTCAAGGAATTGACAAAATCTCATTAGTTTGCATTGCATCCCTTGCTCAGAATCTCTCTCTCTCTCAGTGACCCAAAACAAACTGCACTGAACTAAACTTTTAGCTTTCCCAGTTGGCGGTGCTTCTTCTTTGAAGTTGATTAGAGCCTTAGATTACATGTTTATGGGTTCCACATCCTCTTGGTTCTCCAAACTTGTGATCTTCATGAAAACTAGAACAGCAATAGAAGATTGTTCCTTCAGAATGATAGATTTCAACAATTCTCTTTTTTTCTGGCTTGATAATGGTCTGGTAATGAAGATGTTTTGATAAGAAGACGTTATAATGCAACAGTTTTTATTGGACTACATGTTCTGATTGTTGTGTAGACCATAGTGATATAATTTTGTGCTCTAGGACTGGGGTCATCCATGCTTATTCCTTGTCCTTTTTCAAGAGAAACATTTCAAGAGAAACATTTCATATGATTTACTTTATCCGACTACATCTTATAATGCAACATTTTTTATCGGACTACATGTTCTGATTCTTGTGTAGACCATAGTGATAAAATTTTGTGCTCTAGGACTGGGGTCATCCATGCTTATTCTTTGTACTTTTTCAAAAGAAGCATTTCATATGATTCACTTTATCTGTGATAATCACAGTTTTCAATTGTGACTCACAGTATCCTTTCGAAGTAGTAAAAGGTAATGTATTTGCTTATTGAAGGTGGGAAGATGGATTTTCTGATAAAGTTGAATATGACCCTGCTGGTAACATCAAGACCCAGATAATCAGGTCACCTTTTGTTCAGGTAGCTAGTCTTACTCCAGGAGCTTTATTAGAATTCCATGCTTATCATCATCATCATCATCATTATTATAATTATTTTGTTTCTTTTTCTTTGTTAACACTATAACTTGCATGTCTGCCACAGATTCCACTTGGAGTCACGGAAGATAGACTAGTAGGATCCGTTGACATCGAAGAGTCCGTGAAATCTGGAACAACTGTTTTTCAGCCGGGTCTTCTTGCTGAAGCTCATAGAGGAGTCCTATATGTTGATGAGATAAATCTTTTGGATGAGGGTATTAGCAATTTGCTTCTTAATGTGTTGACAGAGGGCGTTAATATAGTAGAAAGAGAGGGAATCAGTTTCCGGCACCCATGCAAACCGCTTTTAATAGCAACTTATAATCCAGAGGAGGGTTCTGTACGTGAACATTTGCTGGATCGCATAGCAATAAATTTAAGGTACATATTGTCAGGACTGCATATTAACTTTTTTATACATAGACATCCCTAGTTGGCTTTGGAGAGAGCATGATACAAATCTGAGGTCTTTTAAATTCTGGTTCAACTTGTTAAAATGGAACTTTGTATTTGCTGGACCTTTTCTGCTTACAAATATTGATTATTAGATCCAGTTTCTCCCTTGTTCTACTTGTACACGTGTTGCAACCAACTCTGTCTACTAATGACACCATTCTTCTGCAGTGCAGATCTTCCAATGAATTTTGAAAATCGTGTTGCAGCTGTTGAAATTGCTACAAAGTTCCAAGAGCGTAGTAATGAAGTTTTTAAGATGGTCGAAGAAGAAATGGAGTTTGCCAAAACTCAGGTATGTTTTAAATTCATTGTGCAAGTATTTCAAGTAATGATGGCAAATGATACAGCGGAAGAGAATATTTGCTGTTATGATGTCTTATTCATTGGAAATGAGCTTCATCCTTGGTTCAGTTGTACAGTCTTATGATGATAAATGCTATGCAGATAATTTTGGCAAGGGAGTACTTGAAAGATGTTACTATGAGCAGAGAGCAGCTAAAATACTTGGTTATGGAAGCACTCCGAGGTGGTTGTCAGGTTCTTAAATGAAACTCTACCTAATTTGAATTGAAGATGCTCTAGATAAAAATGTTAAAAAGTTTCCGTGCACCAGGTTTTCACTAATCTGTACACTATGAAAGTATAGCAGTATTATAGTCTGCATGGGAAGATGAAAAAGTATTGAGCACCTTATTGTCTTGGTCAATGCTACTTTCTCTACTTTTTTTCATTCACCTTTTGGTTTCCTAGATATTATTTGTCGGGTTACAAATTTTCTCTCCTTTGTCTTTGTTTTTCTTTGGCATGGAGTGTGAGGAATGAGTCGCAGCATCTGCTTTTAGTTATCTACATTAAGTGAACTTTTTTGTAACCTGGAGTGTTGAATCAGTGAAATAGACAGGCTTTGATCCCACTTGTTGAATCAGATTCTTGCAATCCATGAGTTAAATATATTGTGGAGCTTAAAACAAAAAATAGAATGAGATCCAGGATCGGTCCACATTTATAATTTGATGATGTCTCACTCCACCTGAAATTTTCTTTCTTCTTTTTCCCAAGCTACTCAGGATATCTAAAATATACTGCAAGAATGAACCATAAGAATAAACTGTAAGATTTTATATGAAAGGAAGAGTGGTTTAATACAATCAACATGAATTTCTGTCATTACAGGGCCACAGAGGTGAACTGTATGCTGCTCGTGTTGCTAAATGCTTAGCTGCACTGGAGGGGCGTGACAAAGTGAATGTGGATGACCTGAAGAAAGCTGTTAAGTAGTCTGTTTCTTCTTTCCTTATATTTCTGATACTATTTCTTTAGATTCCCTCATCTAAACTTTGAAAACTCAAGTGATCTATAAACTTAATTTTGTCTTTTCAATTTGCTGTTTCTTTTGCCTCTGCACCTGGCAAAATTGCCATTGGTGCATTTGCTACTATTATGTTTGCGTTACTTGTGAACTTTCTTTCATTCAAAAGCTGCTTTTCTTTGAATTGCCATTAAGCAATTTAAGCGGATTGTGGATCATAAACTGTTCTTGCAAGTTATCACATTTATCAGAGTTGTTTTGCTTATTATTGTGCCATCCATTGGAAGAAATCTGTAGCCAATTGTCAGGCTTCAGCCATTTCAAGAGGGCAAATACTTGTGTAGGTTGGTCTGTGTGTTCACTTATAGACCACAAGGTACATGCAATAGCCACATGGATTTTCTTGCATCATCACATATCACTCAGCATCCCTTTTCTTACATTATCATACATCATGATACCCACATGGCTATTGCATCATCAGATCCATGTGGCTATTGCATAGCATACGCTACGTGGTTTACAAGTGTGTCCATAGACCAAGCCTACACAAGTATTTTCCTTTTAAGAGAGTGGTATTTCTGCATTTTGGAAATGTTCAGCACCATGCGTGTAACATTGTTACTAATTCCTTCTTAAGTTGAAAACTTCTTAAGTTTGTTTATGCGTGGGGAAATGGATGTATTGAGCTACTATATTCTGATGTTTTCAGATTGGTCACAAATGTTTTGATTTGCCAGTTGACATTTCCTTCTATAATCTGTGTGATACAGGTAGAATTGGTCATCCTTCCGCGTTCAATCATCAATGAAAGCCCAGCTGATCAGCAAAACCAGCAGCCTCCTCCTCCTCCTCCTCCCCAAAATCAAGATTCAGCTGAAGAGCAAAATGAAGAAGAAGATAAGGAGGTCTTTGAATAATCATTATGAATTTATTTTTGGTTGCTCAGTGATGGAGATTAGCTTCATTCTCACTTCCCATTATCTTTTGCTGAAGATCTTTTTGAACAATTTTATTGTTCCTTTAAAACCAGGATGAAAATGATGAAGAAAACGAACAGCAGCAGGAGCAAATACCTGAAGAGTTTATATTTGATGCAGAGGGGGGTTTGGTAGATGAGAAACTTCTTCTCTTTGCACAACAAGCACAGAGACGTCGAGGCAAAGCTGGGCGAGCCAAGAATGTTATATTTTCTGAGGATAGAGGCCGATATATAAAGCCAATGATTCCTAAGGTCAACTTTCCTCTATGTTATTCTTCCACGGGCAACTAAATTTACCATATGGTGTTTCTGGAATTCCTCTAGATGAAATATTGTTGTCTGCGCAATTGGTCAACCCTAAATCGTTTCTTGTCCCCGCAAGATTTTTGTAATTTTTATATTTCCTAATCAAGTTCTTGGTCTTTTAAGCAGGGTCCTGTAAGAAGACTGGCTGTTGATGCCACCCTCCGAGCTGCGGCACCATATCAGAAGTTGCGAAGGGAAAGGAACATTCAAAACAGCAAAAGAGTTTTCGTGGAGAAATCTGACATGAGAGCAAAAAGAATGGCGCGCAAAGCAGGAGCTCTGGTAGAGTTTTGTTCTACATGCATCATTTATGTGTTCCATATGTCAAGCTCTTCCTCCTGATCTAGCTATTTCTTGAGCCTGCCTTGATACTAGTGACTCATGAGCTCTTAGGTAGTTATTGAAGTAACTAAATGGAACTAAGTTAAAGGAAAAAGTCATAAAATGTTCCAAATTCTGTTGCATAGCAATGGGGTGATCAGTAAATGCCATTTCGATTGCATGACAACGAGTTCCTTTTTCATGGGTTATAGCGGATAGTCTTTTTATTAATTCTTTTGGAACCTTGTTCCTATAGGTGATATTTGTGGTTGATGCTAGTGGGAGCATGGCATTAAATCGCATGCAGAATGCCAAGGGTGCGGCCCTTAAACTACTAGCAGAAAGTTATACTAGCAGAGATCAGGTGCATTTTGCATTGAGTTTATTCGTTTTTTATTTGATTGCTTAGATATCTCCTTGTAATGTCTGTGACTGGTTGCATGTATTATCAACCACACTACATGATTCATCTTGATTCCTCTCATTTTGCAAATAGTTTTAGCTCCTATTTTTGAGATACGAGTGAATCACAGATTTATAGTTTGTTTGATTTGTTCAGTCTACTTAACGGTAAGAAAACAAGTAATTGATCTACATAAGTTACCTATATATTTCTATATGAAGTTATTTATTGTATTTGGCTTCTGAATTGAAAGATAGATCAATGGTTTCATATTATTCTGTATGAACTTCTAACTAAAGACTGATTAACAGTTTGACATGTCAGATCATCATTCTTCTAAGGGATCCCAATAAGGAACTAAGCATAATAAAATCATGAAAACAAAGTCACAGATTCAGTCTATCTGGTCCTATCTAGATAGCGGGAAAGCCTCAAATTTTTGGTAGTGAAGGATAATGGAAATTTCTCAAAACAAATAACCTCAAGCTTTGAGGTGATTTCTATTTTTTTATTTTTGGCCGGTTTTAAATAGATCATAGTTTTTGAAGAGGTAGATGTTGTTGTTGTTGGTTTATTAGGACATATCTATTGGTACAATTTTCTGAAAATAAAACTTGCTATATCTGGGGGAAAAGCTAATTTCATTACATTTCTGGTGTTAACCTTGAATAGGTTTGTATCATCCCCTTCCGTGGAGATGCTGCAGAAGTTCTCTTGCCTCCTTCCAGGTCAATAGCAATGGCTAGGAAACGACTTGAGAGACTGCCCTGTGGTGGGGGTTCTCCCTTAGCTCATGGGCTTACTACGGTATGAAAAATTTTAAAAGTTTTTTGGCCCAAATGTAGTTATGCCAGGCCAAAATAATGAAGTTTAGCAGAATTTTGCATTGATTAAACCCTGTTGCTAAAATAATACAAAGTTAATTATTCTACAAATTTTGTGCTCTTAGTTTCTTTTGAAGGAACTGGTAGCTATGACTTTCTATTATTGCCACCCGTTTCTTTCTTTTTTCCATTGTTAATTTTTCTCAATTTTTTCAAGTCTCGGTTCTCTGTTGAGTCTAAACAACAAAGAGGCATGAGTTTTACTTTCAATCTGCTTAGGCTGTCAGAGTTGGAATGAATGCAGAGAAAAGTGGTGATGTTGGGCGTATAATGATCGTTGCAATAACTGACGGTAGAGCCAATATATCACTGAAGCGGTCCACGGATCCTGAAGGTGCTTCTGCAGATGCTCCTAGACCCTCTACTCAAGATCTGAAGGTAAAATTCATGCTAAGCAGAAGATAAAATGATCATATTGGTACAGTAATTGGTCATTTGAACATTTCCTACACAAATTTGTGGTTTTTTTTTTAAGTTTTAGATTACTTGGGAGCAGAAATTGAAGGCACTGCTAAAATTACATAGAGAGGCCTGTAGAACTTGTGATTCCTCTTTAAGTGAATGCATAACAGTTGCCCAAAAAAATTAAACGAAAAGAAAGAGAATGGTATCTTCATTAAAATGAAGGGACGTACACATCCTTAAGTTGTTGCATATCTATTAATTTCATGCATCGAAAATTCCAACATATTTTGCAAACTAATTGAAGTCCTTTCCAGGATGAGATTCTTGAGGTTGCTGGTAAAATATACAAGTCAGGAATGTCTCTTCTTGTCATTGACACAGAAAATAAGTTTGTTTCAACAGGGTTTGCCAAAGAAATTGCTAGAGTTGCTCAAGGTTTGTCTCCCAAAACCCTTCAAATTTCAGTTATCTGGGAGAGAGATTTCTCATAGATAATCTGATTTTTTGTGTCCAGGAAAGTACTATTATTTGCCTAATGCATCAGATGCTGTTATCTCTGCTACAACGAAGGACGCCCTAACAGTTTTAAAGAGCTCTTAATTTAGAACATTCATCTATAGCATTTGATAGAAATTAACTAACCACAACAATAATTTTTTACTTTCCTTTTGAACCATGTTTGTCGTTTTGATTATTGAATGTAATCTGTAACCAATTTTCCAAGTTAATGATATCTTAAATTTCAAAAGCCCCGTGAGATAGGTTTAAACTTCTTTCTAACACGTGGTGGTTGAGTGGTTGTCCAAGTTCGCAATGAACATCAGAGTTTTTGCTACGTTACACATCATTGAACTAAGGTGGGTGTGTGTGTGTGTGTTTAATAATTTTTTATACACTGACAGTATATATAATATTACAATTAGATGCATGCTACATAATTTAAATTTAAATTTAAAATCGAAATAACTTTTTTTTTCTCTCTTTTCAAAATAATATTCTTTTTTTGTGAAAAATACGTTAATAAAATTGAACTTCTTATGACTTCACCCGAAAGGTCTCCAATAATTATTTATAGATCATGTTGTTTAGTTGATTCAGTTACACATTTTGGACCAGAAATGTACGTTGGCCTCTTTAAGGTATAATCTGAGCATGGCAAAATACGAAGAAGAAAATCTCAGCATTGACAAAGGAGCCTAGAGAAAAAGCTAGATGAAATTCTGTCATATGAAGACATGCTGAAGAAATTTTGCAGTATATCCGCTCAAAATTCAAGGAACATAAAACTTCATGTCTTAGCAAATTTCTCATTGAATCTTTATCAACTCTAAATCACTGTTATATCACATTGGTTGCCGAATGCCGTCAGCTGAAGGATTGCATTCAATACAAACCCTTCTCTTTTGCAAGGAACGTCAAATTCCTACTTAGCCTTTTCTTCCATTTTACCGTCCCACAGAGCCATAAGCAGCCACTATCAAACCAATGGTGTACTTGAGAATTTCATTGAGCTGCAAGCAGAGTTACTGAAACATCTTATCTGCTACTCAGTTTGGTAATTGTAGCCATTCTTGTCGGGCAAAAAGGGCTTTGTCATGGGATGGATTGCAGCAGCCTCCCAGGAGTGATATGGTCACGATTAAGTTTGCCAGAGCAAGCTTATGATTTTAGCTGCCAGAGATGATCAAGTTCCATATGTAGCCCAACCAGTAACCTTTCTAATATGCTGATCTTTGGATTTGAATACACGATTATTGGCTCAATTGAGAACTGCAAGCCATCCTGACGGGGACTATCAATTACTTCATTTAGTATACAAACAAAGATAAATCTTCAATAGATAGGAATAAATGATAGAACAGTGAAAGGTTACATGGCCAAAACTTCTTGCCAACCTTCAGTACCAGAATAAACAATAGCTACTTGAATTCCCACAAATTGCTAGACGAAATAAATACACTTAGCATCCATGAAACTTCTACAGGTTAATACTCCACTTTCTGAAACTAACCATTTTTCAGAAACTCAAGGAAGAATAAGATGTGGGAAGCGTGACCCTTAACCTATGATCTACATTATTAAGGTCAACAAATCAACAATATGGGACTACTCCAACTGTCAGAGAAAGGGTCTTGAGAGTTCGACCCCTTTTTAACTCGAATTGATTCTTCATCAGTATCCTGCACCAGCAAAGTACCATGAAATCACAAATTCCATCATATAATTCCTTTTCTTTCGCCCCCTTAGAATCTATCATCTGATGCAAGAAGACACAAGAGCCTTCCAGCTAAAAGTTCTTCCATGCAGCAGTGACAGACTTTTCTTGCCAAAATCAAGAAAAAACTTCTTTAAAGTTCCCACCAGAGCACTTTCATACGACTAATCATTTTTTAACCATATGATCGGTTTCTTGGATATCTAATGCATCCTTGATGAAACATTAGAAGAACAAGCTTGTCAGGGACTGTAACAAAAAGACAGGCAGCAGATGCAGAATAAGTAAAAGAAAATGATAGTACTTCAAATGTGCAACCAAATATCCTCTTCTCAGTTTTCAAAATCCAGGTGGAGTCAGCTCTATCATTTGTCTGGTTTCCGTCCTCACTCTAGAAGGTACATAGCTGTTCAACGTCTTTTTATGCTGGAGCCTACACCAGGGAAATGACTCGGAAATCTGTGCATTACCTGCTGGGCCCAGATCTGCAAGTCAGTCCTCTTGGCCACTCACAGCCACAGTTTCTCACAGAATCCTGCTTCGATGTTGTAGGGCTCGTTTGAAATTGCTTCCCATTCCCAGAAGAGACTTTTTTATGCCAGAAACGAAAGTCATAAAGTGGAAAGAGACAACATAATGCATTTTGAATGTGCGAAATGAGAAACATCTAAGTTGTGTCTTGTAAGAAGCCAAAGCAGCAGGATCTATGGCAGTGATGACATTATTGGAAACCTACTTTACTTGGTTATGCAAATTGTAATTTTGCTAGGAACGCAACATCAAGTTTGAGATGAAAATTAACCAATTTAAAGCATCTGAAAACTCTCGCAGGCAGAATTCAAGAGTGAGTGGTTGCTCTCAAATTCTTCTGCAACTGATGAATCAGTAGAGAATAAGCATCTGCCATAAAAGTCATGCATCCAAGATTTCTACCACATATCTTGCTGAGAATGGTGAATATGCAAGTATGATTAGAATATTTTGCAATATTCAAGGCTCAATATTTTTCATCTTACACGTGTGTTGTATCGAAGGTGTAAAGATTCATTATACACATGCCAGAAAATCATATAAACATGTTATACAGTTCCATGAGAAACAAGGCAGCAAAAACGATGGGGCTGCAACTGAGATCTCATTTTCCTGTGGCAGAGAAGAATAAAAACTGCTTAAGAAATAGAATTACGAACAGGAGGAGACAGTCATTACAGATCTAAAAGAATTAAGTTTGACGAAAGAAAAGCACTGTTTTCATGAGGCAATACTTTAAAATAATACAATTGCAGATTTGACTGAATTAAGACAGTTAATAATCAAGCTACATCTGTGAGCTAAATTCAACATCTAGCAGCCAAGAACTTACACTGGTCCTGAATCAGGTGTCATCGCCCAACTTTCATAGAACTTTGATAAATTACTGAAACATGAAATTTTGCATTTTCCTTTCATGGGTTGGGGTAGTCTGGTCCATAATTGTGCACTGAGGGGGTCTGTAGCAGTGGTTGACAAGCTCTGCAATATCATATTAGACAACAATAGTAGTAATGCATCAGCATTAAAAGTAACTTTATCATTTGAAAAACAGAGCACAAAGTTTAGCCCAAAACTACCCATGGATCAGTATTCATGGCACAAAAAAAGCTTCAACAGTGGAATCCTGTAAAGTACTTGAACCAAGAAGGTTAAAGAGTACCATATTCAAATATTGCAATTGATAAGAAAAAAAATACACCTTGTAGGATTACACATTCTACCATAAAGCTGGATAAGAAATGATTAACACCAATTTATCCAATGCCATTCTAACATCTCCATGCATACTAGGCATCAAGCAGAAATTGCCCCCAGAAATTTCACAGATATCAATGGACAATATATGTTTAAGGCTAGCTCTACTCCAAGCCAGACACTGAAGCTGCACCTGGTCAGACACAGTTGCTTCAGTTTACTAGGACAATAGGTATAAATAAACAGCCAAAATTATACCTGGACCAAATGAGATAAAGCCGTTGGATCTACTTTGACAGAAAAAAGAAAAACAACAAAGAAACTTTGTTGCCAATCCAAAAGAAGAACAATATTGCGTGCTCAACAATAGCAGAGGATCAGCCATTTATAGAACAGAGATATTGTGTAGCATGCAGCATGGCTTCACAGTAAAGAATGGCAGTTTTGTGTAGATGTAGCTGTCAGCTTCACGATTAAGTAAAAATATGCAATGAAAAGGAGGAATCTTCAAATCAATTGCTTTTTGTTCTAAATTTGAGTCAATTATCTAAATTCAGCTAAACTCAATTAGATTGGTGAATTCTCAATGGCTTTCATCTCTATTGCTTTCAATAAAATCCTATGAATCAAGTATATACTACAACATCAATCTACTTTCTGTCTTCCCCAACTAATTGCGCCTGATGCAAAATTACATTGGGTGGTAGTCAATTGAGTCAAAAGCTTTATCTACCACTGCATGACAAAATGGCTGTTGATTTACTAAACCATTCTTCATATGGTTAGGCATCAAAGAAGTTAAATCCTTTTCCGAAACATCCTCACTTGACTTGCATGAGAGGGATTCTATTCCAACAGGGGTTGTTGATTCCCCATGAGGTTTCTCAAAAATGATTGCATCCTTCTGCCATGAATCATCTTCTTTTGATGCCATAGATTGATCAGGATGGCCACTATCTTCATTTGAAAACTCAGGAACTGCTGCTTTCTGTACTGAATTAGGAGATAACTGTCCATTTTCGGCATCTGACTTGAGCATCTGATTTGGACAAAAAGTGGTCCCCAAGGGTTGTTTCTCATCAAGATCACTGGCCAAAGACAATTTTTTTGATTCTTCATACAATTGAATGTTCTCTTCTAGAAATGCTTCACTTGAAGGACCATTAGTTTCTTTAGAAATGCTGTCTATCCCTTCATTATAGTCCAATCCAACCAATTTAGCCCCCTCAGTTTTTGTTGCACCCAAATGGGGGCAGCAAGGAGGGTTCCTTTTAAGGCAATTGTGACACTTAAATCCAATAAGTCTACCGACTTGTTCCATTTTAAGATCCAAAGCATCTCCATGAAACCAATCTGCAGCGTGTTTTAGACAGAAGCAGCAAAAGCATTATAAGAAATAGGTAGAAGCATAAAGGTTAAAAACAGGAAAAAAAATGTATGAAGTTCCTGAGAACCAAAACCTAATTTGTAATGGTGTTTAATATCTTGCATATTGCATGTACTAGAATGCTCAATTTACTAAATCGTAGTCTGATTGTACTATAAACTGCTCACTTTTTTATTCTCCATTCTTATATTGTAAAATGTTTCTATTGGCAATAAGATCTTAACCAGCAGAATTTTTCATTGACAGTGGAAGACAATAGTATGAGCTGACTAATCCTTCTCTAAGATAATGCTTTTAAAATCCATGATGGATTGCAGGACTAACTGATAACCAGATTGGAGAAACGTAGAAAACAGAAAACACACACACACACACACATATAAGAACATGATGATCTATTTACCTCCACAAAGTTCAC